TGCACATTTTCCCTTAAATTGGTGAAAACGTTTTCCCACCATTTAGGTGAGAAATGGTTTTCCAGGTGCTGCTGTGTATTCTTTTTTTGGTAATAGAAACAAATTTCATAACCAATTGTAAAAAAAAAAAATCACTTTAATGAACAATTTTCATGTAAAACAAAATCAAATGAATACTAAACTTTGATGAAAAAATGATTTTTTAGGAAATATTTTTTTTTTTTACTTCTGGCAATAGAAACAAATTTTATAACCAATTGTGGAGAAATTATCATTTTAATGAACAATTTTCATGTAAAACAAAGCCAAACGAGCACAAAATTTTAAAATTTTCCAGGTGAAAAATTATACCAATCAAACTCTTAATTACCAATTCCCTGTAAAACAATTTCAAAACAATTACTTTCCCTGAAATTCATTTTCTTTCCACCCATTTTCCACCATTGCAATCAAACAGACCCTTATATTTTAACTATAAACATGTATAAAAAAAATTAGAATGAAACTCAAAAGTAGCATAGGTTACCTTGCTTGAAGTTTTAAGAATAGGCAGCTTAGATGTTGAAAGAATAGTATTGTTAGGTTTATATTTTGTATTGGCGATTCTGTGAACAAATTGACCAACTTGAACAATTATATAAGNCTACAATATAATTGTTAGGTTTATATTTTGTATTGGCGATTCTGTGTACAAATTGACCAACTTGAACAATTATATAAGCTTAGGAACTAAATTGTAATGCTTCATAGTTGGTAGGTTAGGGTTTGGGGTTTCAAGTTTGGAATAAGAAGGATTCATGCTAGATTTTTGCTAGCTGCTCGTCGGAGTGATGCTCGAGCGACTGAAACAGAGACTGCCTCGCTCGACCTTCATCCTAGACCTAATTTTCTATTTTCGAGACTTTTACTTGGCCATACAACCTATTTCGTCTAACTTATATATTGAGGCGCAGCACTTTCTATGAACAAGAGATTGAACACATTCTATTCCATAGAGAATACACCCAACATCAGATCAAAGGTTCAATCCTTCAATTCATATGTGCTTCTTTCATAGAAAACATCTAAGCCATCAAATCAAACACTAAATTGGTTTCTTCGCTTGGGTCTGCTGCGAGATTGTGTCGTCAACTGTGCTGCATTAAAG